AAAATAGAAGCTTGGGGCGACCTATAAAGTATTTGAATCCATTTCACAAACTCGTCTCCCAGACCAAATCGCTGTAAAACACTCTACGCGAGCGAAACTACCAGAGCCCTTTGCTTAGTCTGATTGCAATATTGGATAATGCCGAGAAGGCGTCTCATGTTAGTGAACGATTGACGATCGCGAACGAAATCAGTCTGGTCTTCATTGATTAAAGAAGGCAAGGATGTCTCGTAAGCGTATAGCTAAGACCTTAGAAATCATTTTGCTAACAGTGTTAATTAAAGAAATTGGACGTATGCTGAACACTCATCTGGAAGTTTATTTTTATTTATTTTTTTTGAGAATAAGATGTATATTTGCCTGGTAAAATGTTTGAGGTAGCGTTCCCTTTTCAAATGAAGTGGAGTAGACTTTAAACAATTGATCACTAATTAAGTGTCCACATATTTTTTGTAGAAGTCTGAACCAAAACCATCCGGCCCTGGGGCTTTGCCGTTTTTCAGCAAACCGATGGCCTCCAAGATGGGCTGGAACAGGATGCCAAATCCCTTAAAGGGTTAGTTCACCCAAAAATGAAAATTAGCCCACAAATCACTCACCCTCAAGTCATCCTAGGTGTATATGACTTTCTTCTTTCAGACGAATCCAGTCGGAGTTATATTAAAAATTGTCTTTGAGTGAGTCTCGTGAAAACCAACGTTTGTTTACAGGAGCAAAGGAAGCAAAGTTTCCTTACTTTAGCAAAGGAAAACCAGTCTCCTCTTGGATGATATCGAAATCCTCCGACATTCTTCTTTACAAATCCTCATTTTGTACTTCTAATAAAGTGACCGTTGTTTGGTTTTGATCTCTCCCCTGCGCTTCCGCGTGCGTCACTTCTGCGCGGCGCATGCGCAAAGCTGACCTCATACGTCATTCCCCCGGAGCTGCTTCCGTGTACAACTGTTGGCGCAAGCTACATTAAAGTGATTATTAAGTTTTGAATATGGATATTTTTCTTACAAAAAAGCATCGATTCGCTACAGGAGGCCTTTGTTCACCCTCCGGAGCCGTGTGAGACACTTTTTTTTATTATGGATGGGCGCTTTTTATTTAACTTCTTTTGGACTGATGCATGCAACACCCGCTGAGTGGCATTAAACAGCTTGAAAGATCAAAGACAATTTTTAATATAACTCCGACTGGATTCGTCTGAAAGAAGAAAGTCATAAACACCTAGGATGACTTGAGGGTGAGTAATTTGTGGGATAATTTTCATTTTTGGGTGAACTAACCATTAAGGAAGCAAAAAATATACTTTGAAAAGAATTAGGGGTATAGACCGAGCCTAATATGACCATTTCTCCATAGAGGTGGCCCAAAATAATCACATATCTGCCTCCTTTATCTTTAATCATTCTTTCTAACTTAAAGGGGAAATGTTTGTGAACTAATATGGCAACACCTAGAATATTATATTAATAATTTATATTATTTTGTTAAAAAAATGTAATTTCATAATATTATGCATTAATTATATTTTCTAAAAATTACATTATATTATGCATTAAATATAATTTAATGCATAATATTATGAAATTCATCAGAATATATATTTAATATATATTTTATTATTTGTTTGTATTTTATGTTGCCTGTTTAATTTTTTTCTGTATTTTCATATTGCTAAATTATATTTTGGTGCAATTTCATGCAAGCATTTCTTGACCTAAGATGCTGTTTCTCTGATTTTAGGATAAACATTGGTTACTACGGCAACCTGCAAATCCAATGCCAAACAGCTCCATTGAGTACCTTGATAACGCTTACCGCAGGAGGTACGCAAATATAGATTTCATACAACGTTCTATCAAATAAATCTTTCTATTGAGATGTGTGTTTATTATCTGTGATAGGTGGCAGACGCTTCTGTCAGTGGACGACATGGTGGAGCAGCTGATTAAGAAACTGGATTCAATAAAGGAGTTGAACAACACATACATCTTCTACACGTCTGATCACGGCTATCACACCGGTGTGTCCTCAGTCTCCACAGTTTTATTGACCTGTAATTGTGCCTGACTTTATGACACCTTATTTTTCAATTGATTTCAGGCCAGTTCTCATTGCCCATTGACAAGAGACAGCTTTATGAGTTTGATATTCGCATCCCTCTCTTGGTTCGGGGTCCAGGAATCAAACCTAAACAAACACTTCAGGTTAGAAGACTGATTTAGTGAACAACATGTCTAAATATGTGACCCTGGAGCACAAAACCAGTCTTAAGTTGCTTGGGTATATTTGTAACAATA